TTTATCTATCCTTGCGTACTAACTTGCGACTCAGGAACTCTGGACATATAATTTCATACTTTGCAAGAGGCCACATTGAAAGACAATTGTGAAGCAAAATATAAAGCTGAATGGAAGCTAACGCTGACTAAATGTCAATATAAAGCTGGGCCAGCAAGGCCGTCATAACTACTATAACTGACAAGCCAACAACATATACGTATAGGGCCTACAAGCCCAACATACTGTACTAACTGATAGGATATGTCTACAAGCCTCTACTGATAGATGTACTGTGATCAGAACAGGGCCCGACCTACCCATAACATATCTACATATATACACAAGATGTATATCAAACTTCTAGACCTGGCAACTCCAAAGGACGGGGAGCTTACCAATAAAGCTGAACTCGGGCAACACCTACTGAGGAGGTATACCCTTCTGTCTATCTAAACCTGCACGCATGGAATACCGCGCCCCCAGAAGGGACGCCAATATGAAATAATGTACCGAGTATGTAAGGAAATATACTGAAAGCTAAAACTGAACTGATAATATAATAACTGATAGCAACTGGAAGTCAAAGAAAATTTGAGGATATGCTCATCTATTGATACTAACTCAACTCTCTCAATATAGTGAGTGAAATAGCTGTCCGACCTTATAATGCTTGGTATATATATATTTGCTCTACTGTAGTAGGCTCGGTATATAACTTACCATATGATCAGAGGTTGCCCAATTGGGGCCTGCCCATCAATTATAGCTCGATGGTAATGAAAATACTGTGATACTGTATATATATAGACTCTCTACTCTCTTGACTGGAAGAAGGAAATACTCAAATGAATATAAAGTCCCGATAAAGAAAATATTGTAACTTGCGAGACTAGCAAAATATACGTAAATTCCGGGATATGAATTTTTCTTTATGCCTCGTTATCAAACTCGTGTAATTATGAGATCATGCTAAAATGAAAGAAGAGCTTATCCTTAACATAATTGGAGTAAAGAAAAAATTTGTATGATATTCTTGGAAAATGTGCACCGTACTCTGTTAGAATCGCAAACTTTTATGCTGCTAAAGTTCTTTGTGAATGAAATTTGAATGGCTAACGTTTAGGATCTGACTTAAGTGTCTTTGAGAATGAAATTTGAAAGAGTTACAAGAATGGCTAACGTTTTTCTCTCTTCTGATTGTAATGTCCATGTATTTAAATATTTGGAATGGGTTTTGCAAGAATTTCTAACGTCTCCGTCTTCTGATAATGCCTTAGTATTGAAATATTAGGAAATGAGCTTTTGCAAGAATTGTAGTATGGTCATTTATGGAAGTCTTAAAGTGTTTGAGGTGTCTTCCAATTATTGTATCACGATGCCACTTAATCTAATGTGACCATGAGTCACTTACTTGCTAGTCGCTTGCTTCTACGTAGGGGTGGGGTGGGGTGGATTTTTTTTAATCTTTATCCACTTATTAGGTAATTAGGTAATGTCCTGTTACACGGTAATTAACCAATTACCCGCATAATTAAGAATTATCTCTAAATTTCTAAATTTCTAGTTATTTTAAATACACTTTATATATCTTACTATCACAGTCATATGGTACCTTGTATGGTACTAGTCCATAAATATTGGGTATTATCGCTCGGCTCGTATTTTATCCCAAATCGACAACGTTTAACGAAACTCATTTTCTTTAATTCATGTACCCTTTATTTCATGCCACTTACTTATTGCTTGTTATAAATAGCATAAATATGCTAACCTCCAGATAATCTCATCCCCGAGTCTACGTCAATTAACTAAAAACGAAACTTTAACGTACGAAAAACGCGAGATGTAATAAATTATTTTCCAAAATCCTTAAAGATTGAATATTTTTCACTCGTGAGTAGTTTATAAAGCCTATTTTGAATTATTTGAACTATATTTGGCTAGATTTGATTGGTTTGGAGGCTAATTCTAAAGGAAAGGCCGATTGAACATTTAGTTGATTGTGGAGTGAGGTAAGTATCGTGATTAATCTTGAATTGAGGGATTAGAATTTGTTGGTATATTTGTTACGTGTATTATGTGTGGGAACAACTTATATGTGAGGTTACGAGTATATATGTATTGTCATTGAGTTAAAGCATGCAGGTGAAAATTGTTTCTTTGTAATAGGTTGCTTTATTGACTATGCTTTCCATGCCTTAGTTAGATTACTATTTCTTTAACTATTTGCCCTTGTATTTATTATTTATTTCGAAGATGTTGGTAATTTGGAAACTAAGTTTGTTATCATATCACTATAATTGAAGTGAAATCTGCTTCCCGCTTTGCATTGTTATATTCAGATTTTGTATTGTTGCTTAGTAAGGAAGAGTGAAAATTACGAAGGGTGTTGTCATGCCTTATTTACATAAAATATCATCTATTTGCGACGTTGTGAGGATTAAAGCACAAAGGGTGATACCTTGCATTTGATTGCTTATTACCATTTATCATATCATGTGAGGATGAGAGTAAAATCATGAAGGATGATGCCGTGCCATTTCATTTATGATATTACATGGTGATGACTAGAGTAAAAGCAAATAGTGTGATGTCGTGCCATTATTGATTTCATTGCTTTGTTTGGTTTCCGATTTGATGAGTTAATTGATTGCATTATTTTTGTTTTCAGAGAAAGGTTATTTGGTTGTTTTGTACTTGCTGTTCTTATCGTACTCCCCTTCTACATGCCCCTTCCCCTTTAATATTTTAATTATACTACTTATTATTTTGTCGCTTTATATATATATATATATATTTGTACAAGATTTACGTATATGTCTTATCATAGCCTCATCACTACCTCGTCGGGTTAGGCTCTGATAGGTTAAAAGTACCTTGGGCATAGTTACTTTACTTTAAGTTTTGATGATCTAACAAACTTACCATCCAGAACCAGATATGGAACCTGTTACACATCTACAAGACCTTGAGATCACAAAGTTTCAGGTTAGGATCCAACGTGGGATATAACTCAACTCTTCAATGAGGAAGGAACAACTGAGGAAACAGGTCCCTACCAGTTCCCAAGGAGACTGTATGAAGTCAACTCTCTAGCAGGAAAGTTACTGCCTGCACACGCTACTGCATAGGAACAGTGCAGTAGACAACTTTTTATGGAAGACTTTTTACCTATCTTGCTTACATCATTGTAAGTAATGTCACACACGTATAAATACCATTAAGGAAGGTAAAAAAACTTACTTCATGAGAGAACCAGATAAAGGATCTGAAGCATGCTTGGTACAATCATTCAAGTTAACTGACTCAAGATAATCTGGGCAGTGTGCCTTCAGATTCACAGGAACCAGATTAGGGACCTGATACCTTTGTGTTCTCCTGACAGAAGTATAAGTCAATAGTACAGCTGGAAAGCAACTGCAGAAAGTGACTGCCTGCAACTTTATACGGAACAGTTCTACAGACAATGCAACAGTCACTTCCCATAAGAAGAGGGCATGTACTAACCAAGATTTGACATCACTAAGGTGATGTCTTTTGTAATAAAAACCTGGTGCATGACACAAGGCATCCCTCTCTAAGACTTGCAAAAAATCAAAAACGAAAATCCTCTCTCAACTGCTTGCAACAATCTCTCTCAAGAACAATGCTGCTGCAACCTCAAGGACCTGATCCAAGATCGATGATATCTTAAGTCCTTAGGTTTGTTGAGTCTTTATTATTTGTTCTTCAATTGTAACTCCTATTTTGTTTTCTTATAAGCTGTGTTTTAGGAAACCCAAAATCACAAACCCTCCAAGTTTGTGTCTTGGCTAGAGTTAGTCAAGTTGTAAAGCCTTTGTAATAGAGTTATTACAAAATATTTTGTAATAGGGTTATTACAAGTTAGAGTGATTAAAGTCTTTGTCACTAGAGAGTGACAAATTGGCTTGTGGTGAGAGTATCACAAGTAAGTCAAAATCTTTTTTACTAGAGAGTCACAAAGTGGCTTGTGGTGAGAGTGCCACAAGTTAGCTGAGTTGAATCCTTCGTAATAGAGGTATTACAAAGTGGCTTGTAATAGGTGTTTACAAGTTAGTGAAGTTGAAAGCCTACAAGTGTAGATCGTGATTTTTGACCCCTTGAGTTGAGATTTTTCCACATAAAAATCCTCTATGTTCTCTACTTACTGCCAAGCTACTGTGGTAACAATTAGAGAACCTGATTCCCTATACTGATTGGTTGCACAGTCTGTTGCTTATAGTAAGAACTGCTAGGGAATCTGGTTCTCTATACAGTGGGAACTTATCCTATGTCTCATCTACATATTGGTTCTGCAGTTAGCACTGTACCAAACTGATATAGGACCAGATCGCTATACAGTTCGGTTTATTAGTATCTTCAGTTGAAACTCATAGAGAACCTGGTTCTCTATACAGTCTGGTGGATGCTTAGTCTCTAATAATTGGTATTAGAGTAGGTTCTTTCTAAAAGGTTAACACCTAGAAAGGATCTACATGGTTGCTCCACCAAACTTCGAAGAAAGTCAATCAAGCAATAGACCACAAAGAATTTAGATGATGGTTCGTAAAAATGATGGGATCCCAAAGAAAGGAAGTTCCAACAGGAATTTCAAAGGAAATGATTGCTGTCATAAGTGTGGAAAGCCTGGACACTTTATTAAAGACTCCCCTCTTCTAAAATAAGAGAATTACAAACACAACACTGTTAAAGCAGCTAAGAGGAAGTCGGTCCCTGATAGAAAATTCAAAAGAAGAGATACTGCTGAAAACATGGTGAAGCAAGCTCTTGTTGCAAGGGGAGACTTCTCTGGTGAATTAGAAGAGGAACCAGATGCATGAAGCAGCTTCATGATGGCAGTGGAAAATAAAGCAAAGGAATATGATTCAATGTTTGCATTGACGGCTTAGTCCGATGAGGATGAAGAGGATGACAATGATGAGGTAACTTCCAGGGATGTTTAGAGAAATCTGAAGACCTACTCTTTGAAAAAATTGATGTCATTAGCAAATGTTATAATGGATATATATTATAATTTTGTTAATGATAAAGATGCCCTAATCATAGAGCTAAGAGATGCTGAACAATCTAGAGATGATTTGATGGTAGTGGTTGATGACTTGAAGGAAATCATAGAAACCCTTAGCAAAGAAAAGAATACTCTAGTAGAGAAAATTGCAGCTACTGAGCAAGAAAGGGATGATATGGTAGTTTCCATTGTAGATTTAAGGAAACAAGTGGAAGAAGTAACTAGAGAACACAGCTTGTTGAAAAACAAACAAAAGAATGGATGGACAACACTGAGGGAGAGGAAGTGGCTAGAAAGGCTCAACTTGAGCTTGAGAGTGAGCTGAAGAAAATTAAAAAAAGTCTTGTTGCTGAGCTTAAAAAGAATAGACAACTTCAGGAGGATTTAAAAAGGGTTAAAATAATCTTGATAAGTCACTTAAATGGACCCGGTCCCCTAATGTAATAACGTCTATGTACAAGAGTAATGGTAGAAACAGGCAAGGCATCTGGTTCCAAAAGGCTAACACCTCCTATAATCCCCACAGAAAGTATGTAACTGTGGCTGATAATAGGTTGTGCACTCACTGTGGTCAAACTGGTCATTACAAGGACTCTTGTAAAGTTAAGACCGACAGGCAGTTGAAGAAGATAGTTCAAATCTTGGAGGACATGCTTAGAGCATGTGTGTTTGACTTTGGAGGGTAGTGGGATTTATTCTAGCCTTTGGCCTAGTTTGCTTATAACAACAGTAATTAGTCCAGGATCCAGATGGCTCCATTTGAGGTTTTATATGGCTGGGGATGTCATTCTCACATCGGGTGGTTTGAGCCCGACGAGGCTAAGTTATATGGTTCTGATTTGGTGAAGGATGCCTTGGAAAATGTAAAGTTGATTCAGGAGCGACTTCGTATAGCATCGTCCCGACAGAAGATTTATGCGGATTATAAGGCGAGTGATTTATCATTTATGGTGGGAGAAAAGGTTCTCTTGAAAGTCTCACCGATGAAAGGGATCACGAGGTTCGGGAAGAAGGAAAAGTTGAGCCCAAATCAGTCTTTGCAGAAAAACAAAGTTTTGGTTGAAAAAAGGCGTACTCATGGGGAACCCGGTTCCCTGAAAGGAAAATATGTGCTGCCTGCATGGACAAAAAGAAGATTGATCCGCTTGTTCTATCATTATAAGGGACCCAATATGTCTTGGGTTCCTAAGTCTAATCATTGACTTAAGTGTGCAGGGAACAATGGAAGGGAGCAGTCAACAGTGGCACATGGATAGCGACTGCTCGAAGCTCATAACTGGAAGAACAAATGATTTCCTTTCACTGAAGGCCTTGCATGGAGGGAGTGTATCCTTTGAATATGGAAAGAAGGGATACATTCTAGGAGTTGGAAGGATCGGGAACAGTATGATTCCATTGAATAGTAGAGTACCTGGTCCTCTAAGAGATTCTGCTGGGTATTTCCCAAATCTGTGACAAGGGGATCTTGGCTGTCTGAGTGTTGTTAATGATAATACTGAGCTATGGCACAAAAGGCTTGGTCATGCAAGTTTCACGCTGCTGAACAAATTAGTCAAGAAGGACCTAGTTCATGGTATGCTCAAATCAAGCTTCAAGGATCACAACATGTATGATTCATGTGTAAAAGAAATGCAAGTCAGATCCTAAAAGGAAGTTAGTATATCAAGGCCACATGATCTCCTCCATTTGGATCTATGTGGACCTATGAGGATGCCAAGTAGAGGAAGAAAGAGGTGCATATTCTCGTCAGTATGGATGATTACTCTAGATTTACATGGACCTTGTTCCTCAGAACTGAAGATGAGACTCCAACCGACATAGAGGAACCTGGTCCCTCAATCACAATATCTGAAGTAGAAAATAGAGTTGTGGATGCTGTACATAGAACTCTAGCCGCTGAGAAATTCAAACCAGATCAAAGACAAGAAACTCACTTGCCTTCTCAGCCTTTCTCTCTCAAATAGAGCCTAAGAATATCAAGGAAGCATTGGAAGATGCTGATTGGATTACAGCTATGCAAGAAGAGCTCCGTCAACTTGAGAGGAACAGTATGTGGAACCAGGTTCCATGACTTGCTGACAGAACTGTTATAGGAGCCAGGCTCCCCGTGCTTGGTGTGAAAGCTTGTCAAAATTACTTCTAGAAAATGGTTTTACAAGAGGGAAAATTGACAATACTCTTTTTCTGAAGAAATCAGGAAGGAACCTACTCATTGTGCAGATCCATGTGGATGGAATCATCTTTGGAGCAACAATTGACTCTCAATATTAAGAATGTGCATAACTCATGGGAAGTGCGTTAGAAATGAGTACGATGGGGGAACTGAATTTCTTCTTAGATTTACAAGTGAAGCAAGAAGCTGTTGAAGAGATTTGACATGGAGACATCAAAATCATTGACACTCCCATCGCCACAGCTACTTGTCTAGACTGGATGAACCTGGTTCCCCTATAAATTAGATCATGTATAGAGGTATTTTGGTGTATACATTGATTGTGTACCGCTTCTATCTGTCAACATCTGTGATCTCAACATGGCAAAGAACCTAGTTCAACACAAAAGAACCAAGCATATTAATGTCAAACACCATTTTCTCAGGGACAATGTTTAAAAGTATCTGATTTGTACGAAGTTTTGGAAGACGAAGGATCAAGTAGCAAACTTCTTCACCAAGGCGCTGAGCAGGGAACATTTTGAAAGAAATTGTCTGGAGTTGGGGTTGATTTAGCTCAACTGAGAACCTGGTCCCTCGATGATTGGCTATGTTAAGAAGGAAAGGTACAATGCTAAAAAGTGTTTTTCGGTGACATCTAACTCAAATCTATACTGTTATAAGTATACACATGGCAATTTCAGGACAAAAACAAGTAAGAGTGACATTGCACTTCTAGGAGTCTTTGCTCTAAATTTTCAAAAACTGTCACGGAACCTGGTTCTTGTGACTTAGGTTAGTAGTCTCTTTAATACTTATATGCCTTTTTAAGCTGCTGAAGTGTCATGTCATTAATTTGTTTCTGCCTTTCTCCTGCCTCTCCTCCTACGTTTTGAAATCCAAAATGTTAAACCTTTTCTGAACCGACCCGCTGCCCCAAAAAGGAACCTCTCTATCTTACACCAAAATAAAACCTATTCTTTTCTTCAAAACCAAAATCAACCTTGTCTCAAAATAATGCTTCTTTCCAAATATGCCAGAAGTGAACCCAACTCTCTCACTTTCCAACAACCTAACTCCATCAAAATCAAAACCCGAAGAAGTCTTTGGTAGATTTTGATGGAAGTTTAACTGAAAGGGAACATGGTAGATCTAATATTCTAGAGCGTGAGGCTGAAGTTGTGGTTGGATTTGTGGAAGTCTTGAAGGATGGAGAAATTGGTAAATGTGAGGCCTAAATGAGGCACCTGATCCCTCAAGTCCTTCTCATGAAGTCAATTTTAATAATGATCTTTTTCTTTTTGAGTTTTATGTATAAATGAACTTCCGATCCAGTAAAAAGGATTGATGAATAGTAGGCTGATTGATGATGAAATGGTATGACCTACTGATGTGATTGTGGAAGAAAGAATGAAATGAGATCTTTTCTTGTGAGAAAAATTTTAAAAAAGAGGGTTGGCTGAGAAAGATGCAACAGACGATAATAGTAAACAAATTGAGAAGAAGAAGAAGGAGACATGGTTGCTCTGGGATAGAAAGGGTAGTGTAAGCGAGGAACTTGGTTCCTTACAAAAGCAAAAGGTTGAGCCATTAGGTTTGGAGGGAGAAGACGTTGAAGTCTCAAATGGTGCTGTAAGGTAGAGTGTTGACTCTGATATTGCTGAAAAGAAATGGAGGAACTTCTCGATATTGTTGAGCTCAAAAAATTGGAATCACCTCTTTGTTCCTACAAGTCCCAATGTTTTTGAAAAAGAAGAAAAAAACTTCTATGTTTTATGTGATACTATGATGCTATATGTGCATGGGACTGAGTTTGTTGTTGATAAAACGACACTTGGGGAGATTCTTGGTGATCTGATTGATGGCTCAACATACTCAGATGGGTTGAGAACCTGGTCCTTGAGAACCCTTGGCAGAATAGAATGCTAAGTTGAAGGGTGAAAATGAAAGATTGAGGAAACAAGTGGAGGAACTGAGAGAGCAGACTATCATTGATCAAAGGAGAATAAATGCATGAATGGACAAGCTCATCAAGGCCTTAGCCCCTTACTTTTCCTCCTGCCAAGTGATCCATGTCCTTCAGTCCTTCCAAATTCCCTTGAATTCTTATCTTCTTTTCATCCCTATATTTGATGACATTGGTACTTCAGTTGTTTAAATTATCATATTATGTATTGTTGAAACTACCGTGCTTTTATTATAATTACACACTATGGGCAATCACTCTATTTTGTGCACTGACATTCACTTGTTGTTCTTGTTATTGTTTATGTTGTGTTGCCTAAGTGGCCTAAGTTAATGTTGCTAAACTTCGTTTTGGTGGTACTTCTTCTGTTATTCTTTTTGATGATGCCAAAAGGGAGAAGTTATATAGGTGTCAACATGGGGGAGGAACAGAATCGATGTAGTGCATGAAAGATGGCTCTGCTTCGTAGGGGGAACGTGCTGATAATATGTTGATTATAGGTCTGATCTACAGGGACATGTGAGGAATCTAGTTCTCAAAAGGAATATTAATTTTGGGTTTGTCATCATCAAAAAGGGGGAAATTTCTCTAAGTTACACTATGTCATGTTTTGATGATTTTCCAAATAGTCTTGAGGAACCAGTTGCCAAACAGTCTTGAGGAACCAGTTGTGATCAGTTCCTTAGGTTCAGTTCTCATAGGGAATATGGCTGATTCGTAGGGGGAACAATGTAGAGATTTGGTTCTTAGGGGGAATATCAATTTTAAGTTTGTCGTCATTAAAAAGGGGGGAATTGATAGGTTACAAGTACCTTGGGCATAGTTACTTTACTTTATGTTTTGATGATCTAACAAACTTACCATCCAGAACTAGATACGAAACTTGTTACATATCTACAAGACCTTGAGATCATAAATTTCTAGGTTAGGATCCGGTGTGGGATATAACTCAACTCTTCAGATAAGAAGGAACAACTGAGGAAACAAGTCCCTACCAGTTCCCAAGGAGACTGTATGAAGTCAACTCTCCAGCAGGAAAGTTACTGCATGCACACGCTACTGCACAGGAATAGTGCAACAATCAACTTTCTATGGAAGGCTTTTTACCTACCTTGCTTACATCATTGTAAGTGATGTCACACATGTATAAATACCATCAAGGAAGGATCTGAAGCATGCCTGGTACAATCATTCAAGTTAATCGACTCAAGATAATCTGGGCAGTGTGCCTTCAGATTCACAGGAACTAGATTAGGGACCTGATACCTTTGTGTTCCCCTGGCAGAAGTATAAGTCAATAGTACAGCTAGAAAGCAACTGCAGAAAGTGACTGCCTGCAACTGTACACGCAATAGTTCTGCAAACAATGCAGCAGTCACTTCCTATTGAGAAGAGGCATGTACTAACCAAGATTTGACATCACTAAGGTGTTGTCTTTTGTAATAAAAACCTGGTGCAAGACACAAGGCATCCCTCTCTAAGACTTGCAAAAAATTAGAAACGAAAATTCTTTCTCAAGTGCTTGCAACAATCTCTCTCCAGAACAAAGCAGCTGCAACCTCAAGGACCTGATCCAAGATCGAAGATATCTTAAATCCTTAGGTTTGCTGAGTCTTTGTTATTTGTTCTTCAATTGTAACTCCTATCTTGCTTTCTTAGAAGCTATGTTTTAGGAAACCCAAAATCACAAACCCTCCAAGTTTGTGTCTTGGCTAGAGTTAGTCGGGTTGTAAAGCCTTTGTAATAGAGTTATTACAAAGTGGCTTGTAATAGGGTTATTACAAGGTAGAGTGATTAAAGTCTTTGTCACTAGAGAGTGACAAAGTGGCTTATGGTGAGAGTATCACAAGTTAGTCAAAGTCTTTGCAACTAGAGAGTCACAAAGTGGCTTGTCGTGAGAGTGCCACAAGTTAGTTGAGTTGAATCCTTTGTAATAGAGGTATTACAAAGTGTCTTGTAATAGGTGTTTACAAGTTAGTGAAGTTGAAAGCCTAAAACTGTAGGTCATGGTTTTTGTCCCCTTGAGTTGGGACTTTTCCACGTAAAAATCCTCTGTGTTCTCTACTTACTGCCAAGCTACTGTGGTAACAATTAGAGAACCTGATTCCCTATACTGATTGGTTGCACAGTCTGTTGCTTACAGTAAGAACTGCTAGGGAATCTTGTTCTCTATACAGTGGGAACTTATCCTATGTCTCATCTACATATTGGTTCCGCAGTTAGCACTATACCAAACTGATATAGGACTAGATCGCTATACCGTTCGGTTTATTAGTATCTTTAGTTGAAACTCATAGAGAACCTGGTTCTCTATACAGTCTGGTGGACGCTTAGTCTCTAATAATTGGTATCAGAGGAGGTTCTTTCTAAAAGGTTAACACCTTGAAAGGATCTATATGGTTGCTCCACCAAACTTCGAAGAAAGTCAATCAAGCAATAAACCACAAAAAATTTATATGATGGTTCGTAAAAATGATGGGATCCCAAAGAAAGGAAGTTCCAGCAGGAATTTCAAAGGAAATGATTGCTGTCATAAGTGTGAAAATCCTAGACACTTTATTAAAGACTGCCCTCTTCTAAAACAAGAGAATTACAAAACAACACTGTTAAAGCAGCTAAGAGGAAGTCGGTCCTGATAGAAAATTCAAAAGAAGAGATGCTGCTGAAAACATGGTGAAGCAAGCTCTTGTTGCAAGGGGAGACTTCTCCGGTGAATTAGAAGAGGAACCAGATGCATGAAGCAACTTCATGATGGCAGTGGAAAATAAAGCAAAGGAATATGATTCATTGTTTGCATTGACGACTTAGTCCGATGAGGATGAAGAGGATGACAATGATGAGGTAACTTTCAGGGATGTTCAGAGAAATCTGAAGACCTACTCTTTGAAAAAATTGATGTCATTAGCAAATGTTATAATGGATATATATTATGATTTTGTTAATGATAAAGATGCCCTTATCATAGAGATAAGAGATGCTGAACAATCTAGAGATGATTTGATGGTAGTGGTTGATGACTTGAAGGAAATCATAGAAACCCTTAGCAAAGAAAAGAATACTCTAGTAGAGAAAATTGCATCTACTAAGCAAGAAAGGGATGATATGGTAGTTTCCATTGTAGATTTAAGGAAACAAGTGGAAGAAGTAACTAGAGAACACAGCTTGTTGAAAAACAAACAAAAAAATGGATGGACAACACTGAGGGAGAGGAAGTGGCTAGAAAGGCTCAACTTGAGCTTGAGAGTGAGCTGAAGAAAGTTAAAAAAAGTCTTGTTGCTGAGCTTAAAAAGAATAGACAACTTCAGGAGGATTTAAAAAGGGTTAAAAATAATCTTTATAAGTCACTTAAATAGACCCGGTCCCCTAATGTAATAACGTCTATGTACAAGAGTAATGGTAGAAACAGGCAAGGCATCAGGTTCCAAAAGGCTAACACCTCCTATAATCCCCACAAGAAGTATGTAACTGTGGCTGATAATAGGTTGTGCACTCACTGTGGTCAAACTGGTCATTACAAGGACTCTTGTAAAGTTAAGACCGACAGGCAGTTGGAGAAGATAGTTCAAATCTTGGAGGACATGCTTAGAGCATGTGTGTTTGACTTTGGAGGGTAGTGGGATTGATTCTAGCCTTTGACCGAGTTTGCTTATAACAACAGTAATTAGTCCAGGATCCAGATGGCTCCATTTGAGGTTTTATATGGCTGGGGATGTCATTCTCACATCGGGTGGTTTGATCCCGGCGAGGCTAAGTTATATGGTACTGATTTGGTGAAGGATGCCTTGGAAAATGTAAAGTTGATTCAGGAGCGACTTCGTATAGCTTTGTCCCGATAGAAGATTTATGCGGATTATAAGGCGAGTGATTTATCATTTATGGTGGGCGAAAAGGTTCTCTTGAAAGTCTCACCGATGAAAGGGATCACGAGGTTCGGGAAGAAGGAAAAGTTGAGCCCAAATAAGTCTTTGCAGAAAAACAAAGTTTTGGTTTAAAAAAGGCGTACTCATGGGGAACCTGGTTCCCTGAAAGGAAAATATGTGCTGTCTGCATGGGCAAAAAGAAGATTGATCCTCTTGTTCTATCATTATAAGGGACCCAATATGTCTTGGGTTCCTAAGTCTAATCATTGACTTAAGTGTGCAGGGAACAATGGAAGGGAGCAGTCAACAGTGGCACATGGATAGCGACTGCTCGAAGCTCATAACTGGAAGAACAAATGATTTCCTTTCACTGAAGGCCTTGCATGGAGGGAGTGTATCCTTTGAATATGGAAAGAAGGGATACATTCTAGGAGTTGGAAGGATCGGGAACAGTATGATTCCATTGAATAGTAGAGTACCTGGTCCTCTAAGAGATTCTGCTGGGTATTTCCCAAATCTGTGACAAGGGGATCTTGGCTGTCTGAGTGTTGTTAATGATAATGCTGAGCTATGGCACAAAAGGCTTGGTCATGCAAGTTTCACGCTGCTGAACAAATTAGTCAAGAAGGACCTAGTTCATGGTATGCTCAAATCAAGCTTCAAGGATCACAAGGTGTGTGATTCATGTGTAAAAGAAATGCAAGTCAGATCCTCTTTCAAGCCCAAAAAGGAAGTTAGTATCTCAAGGCCACATGATCTCCTCCATATGGATCTATGTGGACCTATGAGGATGCCAAGTAGAGGAAGAAAGAGGTGCATATTCTCGTCAGTATGGATGATTACTCCAGATTTACATGGACCTTGTTCCTCAGAACTGAAGATGAGACTCCAACCGACATAGAGGAACCTGGTCCCTCAATCACAATATCTGAAGTAGAAAATAGAGTTGTGGATGCTGTACATAGAACTCTAGCCGCTGATAAATTCAAACCAGATCAAAGACAAGAAACTCACTTGCCTTCTCAGCCTTTCTCTCTCAAATAGAGCCTAAGAATATCAAGGAAGCATTGGAAGATGCTGATTGGATTACAGCTATGCAAGAAGAGCTCCGTCAACTTGAGAGGAACAATATGTGGAACCAGGTTCCATGACTTGCTGACAGAACTGTTATAGGAGCCAGGCTCCCCGTGCTTGGTGTGAAAGCTTGTCAAAATTACTTCTAGAAAATGGTTTTACAAGAGGGAAAATTGACAATACTCTTTTTCTGAAGAAATCAGGAAGGAACCTACTCATTGTGCAGATCCATGTGGATGGAATCATCTTTGGAGCAACAATTGACTCTCAATATTAAGAATGTGCATAACTCATGGGAAGTGCGTTAGAAATGAGTACGATGGGGGAACTGAATTTCTTCTTAGATTTACAAGTGAAGCAAGAAGCTGTTGAAGAGATTTGACATGGAGACATCAAAATCATTGACACTCCCATCGCCACAGCTACTTGTCTAGACTGGATGAACCTGGTTCCCCTATAAATTAGATCATGTTTAGAGGTATCATAGGGTCACTTTTGTAGCAGACCAGATATTATGTTTAGTGTGGGTCTGTGTGCTAGGTTTCAATCTAATCCAAAGGAATCTTATCTGAAAGCTTCCAAGAGAATCCTAAAATATTTCAAAAGGATGCAGGACCTGGTTCTCTACTATCCCTTGGTTGATAACCATGACTTGGTTGGATATGCTGATGCTGATTATGTTGAATATCTGGTGGATAAAAACAACTCATCTGGACTGACTTCTTGATCTAATGGGGTACAAAGAGATAAACTGTGTGGCTCTTCCTACTGTTGAAACTGAATACGTGGCTGCTACTTCTTGTTGTGCTCATTCACTATGGATCAAGCAACAATTGGAAGATTTTGCTGTATACATTGATTGTGTACCGCTTCTATGTGTCAACATCTGTGATCTCAACATGGAAAAGAACCCAGTTCAACACAAAAGAACCAAGAATATTAATGTCAAACACCATTTTCTCAGGGACAATGTTTAAAAGGATCTGATTTGTACGAAGTTCTGGAAGACGAAGGATCAAGTAGCAAACTTCTTCACCAAGGCGCTGAGCAGGGAACATTTTGAAAGAAATTGTCTGGAGTTGGGGTTGATTTAGCTCAACTGAGGACCTGGTCCCTCGATGATTGGCTATGTTAAGAAGGAAAGGTACAATGCTAAAAAGTGTTTTTCGGTGACATCTAACTCAAATCTATATTGTTACAAGTATACACATGGCAATTTCAGGACAAAAACAAGTAAGAGTGACATTGCACTTCTAGGAGTCTTTGCTCTAAATTTTCAAAAACCGTCACGGAACCTGGTTCCTGTGACTCAGGTTAGTAGTCTCTTTAATACTTATATGCCTTTTTAAGTTGCTGAAGTGTCATGTCTTTAATTTGTTTCTGCCTTTCTCCTGCCTCTCCTCCTACGTTTTGAAATCCAAAATGTTAAACCTTTTCTGAACCGACCCACTACCCCAAAAAGGAACCTCTCTATCTTACACCAAAATAAAACCTATTCTTTTCTTCAAAACTAAAATCAACCTTGTCTCAAAATAATGCTTCTTTCCAAATATGCCAGAAGTGAACCCAACTCTCTCACTTTTCAAAAACCTAACTCCATCAAAATCAAAACCCCAAGAAGTCTTTGGTAGATTTTGATGGAAGTTTAACTGAAAGGGAACAGGGTAGATCTAATATTCTAGAGCGTGAGGCTGAAGTTGTGGTTGGATTTGTGGAAGTCTTGAAGGATGGAGAAATTGGTAAATGTGAGGACTGAATGAGGCACCTGATCCCTCAAGTCTTCTCATGAAGTCAATTTTAATAATGATCTTTTTCTTTTTGAGTTTTGTGTATAAATGAACTTCCGATCCAGTAAAAAAGATTGATGAAAAGTAGGCTGATTGATGATGAAGTGGTGTGACCTACTGATGTGATTGTGGAAGAAAGAATGAAATGAGATCTTTTCTTGTGAGAAAAATTTTAAAAAAAAGGGTTGGCTGAGAAAGATGCAGTAGACGATAATAGTAAACAAATTGAGAAAAAGAAGAAGGAGACATGGTTGCTCTGGGATAGAAAGGGTAGTGTAAGCGAGGAACTTGGTTCCTTACAAAAGCAAAAGGTTGAGCCATTAGGTTTGGAGGGAGAAGACATTGAAGTCACAAATGGTGTTGTAAGGTAGAGTGTTGACTCTGATATTGCTGAAAAGAAATGGAGGAACTTCTCGATATTGTTGAGCTCCAAAAATTGGAATCACCTCTTTGTTCCTACAAGTCCTAATGTTTCTGAAGAAGAAGTAAAAAACTTCTATGTTTTATGTGATACTATGATGCTATATGTGCATGGGACTGAGTTTGTTCTTGATAAAATGACACTTGGGGAGATTCTTGGTGATCTGATTGATGGCTCAACATACTCAGATGGGTTGAGAACCTGGTCCTTGAGAACCCTTGGCAGAATAGAATGCTATTTGAAGGGTGAAAATGAAAGATTGAGGAAAAAAGTGGAGGAACTGAGAGAGCAGACTATCATTGATCAAAGGAGAATAAATGCATGAATGGACAAGCTCATTAAGGCCTTAGCCCCTTACTTTTCCTCCTGCCAAGTGATCCATGTCCTTCGGTCTTTCCAAATTCCCTTGAATTCTTATCTTCTTTTCATCCCTATATTTGATGACATTGGCACTTCAGTTGTTTAAATTATCATATTATGTATTGTTGAAACTACCGTGCTTTTATTATAATTACACACTATGGGCAATCACTCTATTTTGTGCACTGACATTCACTTGTTGTTCTTGTTATTGTTTATGCTGTGTTGCCTAAGTGGCCTAAGTTAATGTTGCTGAACTTCTTTTTGGTGGTACTTCTTCTGTTATTCTTTTTGATGATGCCAAAAGGGAGAAGTTATATAAGTGTCAACATGGGGGAGGAACAGAATCGATGTAGTGCATGAAAGATGGCTCTGCTTCGTAGGGGGAACATACTGATAATATATTGATTATAGGTCTAATCTACAGGGAAACATGTGAGGAATCTAGTTCTCAAAAGGAATATTAATTTTGGGTTTGTCATCATCAAAAAGGGGGAAATTTCTCTAAGTTACACTATGTCATGTTTTGATGATTTTCCAAATATTCTTGAGGAACCAGTTGCCAAACAGTCTTGAGGAACCAGTTGTGATCAGTTCCATAGGTTCAGTTCTCATAGGGAATATGACTGATTCGTAGGGGGAACAATGTAGAGATCTGGTTCTTAGGGGGAATCTCAATTCTAAGTTTGTCGTCATTAAAAAGGGGGGAATTGATAGGTTACAAGTACCTTGGGCATAGTTACTTTACTT